AAAAAAAAAAAAAACGGGGAAAAAAAAAAAAAAAAAAAAAAAAAAAGAAAAAAAAAAGAGCGAGAAAAGTTTCATGTCCTTTTGTGTTCTTTTCAAGGGTTGCGATAAGAATTCCGGTCACTATGATGAAATAGTCCTGGAACCATCACCGGCACCAGTCGTAATAAAAAAAGTCGTGGTGAGCTTATTGTGCGCGGCTATGTTCGTGACTTTCATTCCAACGTATCCGATTCAGAAGCTAAAAGGTTCGGCTCGTACGTTGTCTCTTAAATATTTATCGCCGCGGGAGAACGCTGTGGGACGGTTCGTTTTATTTTGCAGACGACGACTTCCTGAAGAACACCACGGTGTTTTACAAGATGTGGTACCTCATGGTGACCACCATGTTAGTTCGTTTCAAGTATTACCACGCGTGGATCTTCGCCGACGCCATTTGCAATAATTCCGGGCTCGGGTTCAGCGGATATGACGACAACGGTGAACCGAAGTGGGATCTAGCTTCAAACGTCGACGTTTACGGCTTCGAGGTGAATTACTCGTAGAAATAAATTATAAGTCAAATTTGTCCAGCGCCAAAAATTTCTACCGAATTTTAATTTGTTTGCGTCGTAATTCTTAAATAAGGAACAAAAGAAAAAGAAAAATAGAGTAGGAAAGATGATGTCAGTAACGTTGATAGAATCTTCAACGCGCTGCACTGCAATGACGACATCGTTTAAAAATCCATCGAGCTCATCATAGTCATCAAGTTATGACCAAAGAGTAACTTCATTGATCTGTAGTTCCGCGGTATTCGTTCAATTTATCGATTCACTGTTACGTATATGATTTAGACGAGTCGGGATTTATTTTACAATTTTATTTTTCAGATGTCCCTCAATCTGAGAGACAGTATCGAGCACTGGAATAAAGGAACCAATAGGTGGCTTAGGTCGATTGTGTATGAAAGAATGAAGCACAATAAAGTTATGTTCACGTACGCTCTTTCAGCCTTGTGGCACGGTTTTTATCCTGGTTACTATTTAACATTCGCCAATGGAGCCTTTTTTACCGTGGCGTCACGTGTTGTAAGTAAAACAGTGTCACATCGAACAACGACTAATTTGTTAATTATTAACTTGTTGTTATTATTGTTATTATTATTGACAAACTTTTGTTTGTATGTTGAAACAGACTCGCCGTAACATACGACCATACTTCTTAGGGTCCAAGGGAATGAAGTTCCTGTACGATGCGCTTACGTTCACTACAACGCGATTGTTAATGGCCTATATGACATTCAGCTTTATACTCTTGGAATTTATGCCAAGTGTTACGATGTACCTGTACGTAACATGATACCACCGTTTCCCGTGTTTTACAATTGGACTGTTTACGGATTCATGAAAAATTTCAATTACGCGAAAGTGCAGAAAATTTGCCAAGCGAATTTCCCCGATTACAGTATTTAGAGAATAAGAAAAATTTCTACTCGAGTTTTACAACTTTAGTTAGTTGGATTCGTGGAAATCCGGTCTATATTTATAACGACCTATATTGTGAGATCATTTTAATGTGACGATATGTCTGTCTGTTTTTTTTTTTTTCAGGTACGTATACCTGTTTCCACATATAATCGGTTTAGCTTTACTAGTGATCGCACCACGTCTTCCGAAAATCCCGTCGCACAAGGAAGCAACCGTCAAGGAATCGAAAACTCCTCAGGAATTAATCAACGGGACTGCGCGTAAATCCACGTGAACCTTCGATGTGGCCAAAAGAGGAAACAAAAAAGAAAAAATAAAAAAAAAGAGAAGAAAAGAAAAAACGAGAAAAGTGACGATCACACAAGAGATACATATTTTTTATGAATGTTTTAATATGCATATAAATATTATGTATATATTATATACACACGCACATATAGACGTACAGTATATTTATTGTTGCGACGTGTTACTGGTACAAATTCTATGTCGAGCGTGTAAAGAAAAAAAAAAAAAAAAAAGTATATTTGTTTTATATAACGTGAATGAGTAATCGTATATTTATATGATTGTCCCGTGTATAACGCTGAGATATTGACACACTCAGCCTGTTTCACAGTTACAACAAACGGACGAAATATCGGCGGACGATATATAGTAAATGCTATTATTTAATCGATAGTCTCCTTTAATGTTGTTCACGTTTTCTTCTTCTTTTCTCTCTCTCTCCTCTACACATAATGTTTATCGTAAGAGTGATTGATAGATTGTGCCGTTCCGATTGAACATGCGATTGCAAGTAATTTTTGCAGTTTTATACATTTAGTACCATGCGTATAATAATACCATGATCGATTTCAAAATAAATTGCAATGTTTATTTACGAAGCGTTTACACCTTCGAGCATCTTCATCGACGCTAGTAAGAAATATCGAAATAAAGTAAAAGAAATCCATTTACAAATTATGCTCGGTACACCCTGTAGGACGTGAGTGTTTACGTAAGTATAATATAAATTTATCAAATTCACAAACATCCTTCCAGATTGTTTGACCATTCCTCCAACGTTAGACAGATGAAACCCTAACTTGTGTTCTTTTTGTAACAACTTTCGTTACTACGCGTTAATCCTAGATTTGAAACTAATAAAAGCGCGACGTTATGGATGAAATTTTATCAAAATGGAGATCGCTTTTTATTTTCCTTCGAGTCAGCGTGCATCGACGAAATTAAATAAATACCACACCGGTCGACGATACGTTTTATACGAGAAGATAATACGCGAATATAGCAGCCCGGATGAGATCCGATCAATGACGTTGTCATTACGCTCCACGTGCCTCGGAGTATCATTATATATAACCATAATTCGAACGTTCACTGACGTTTTGCGCGAGTATTTTCATTCGTTGCCTAATGGAATGTCGTCCTTATAATCGGGTAAAGAGAAGCACCGAAACTGACGGCACTCCCGAAGCCCTATTTACACGGGGTGGCGGCGAGCACTTAGCTGGTAAAAACCGTCAGTGCGATCATTGCGATCGGGCCGCGACGATCCCATGATCGTGAGCTCCGATAGAGACTCTCTGGTAGTGTTCTCTTGGTCAAAGGAAACATGGTAAAATTTCTGTTAATCGTTCGAGTCGTGGGTGTGCAAAGGACAACGAGGCACCGTTGGGTTCGATTCTTTTGTTTTTTTTTTTTTTTTTTCTTTCAAAGAGTAAAGAAGGGGAAAAAGTACGAAAAGACGAAGATGGAGAGTCGAAAAACTGTGCTCGTAATGGGAACAATGCCGAGTAAAAATTGAACGATATGGTGATTTAGTTACAATGAATTGTTTGACCTTTGCACAGCCAAGTGTATAGTGTCTCTTGATGATTTAGCTTGGATCTAGTTGGAGTAATTGTTAAGAAATTGTTTCGATTAAGATGTAAGATCTTGAGTACAAGATTGAATTTCTGGTTGTCAATGGAGAAAGGCATATGCTTTTGTAGACAACTAGAAATTAAAGAGTGAAATCCAGTGTGAATTGATATAATTGATGGACATTTGCGATCACGCTTTTGAAAGAAAGTACAATGATATCAAATAAATTCAATTTCTTAAGACACGCTCGTTTTCTGTTCAAGACTTTGCTAAAATCCGATCTGAATTCCTTTTCTTTCTTTCTTTTTTTTTTTTATTTTACTTCTTAATTTTATTTATTTTACTTCTTATGATCCTGATTATTATTATTAATTATGATCCTGATGTTTTCACATCGCTAATGCGACTTGAACGATCTCTGAATCGACAGGTTCATCCTATGTAACTTTTTATGTTTGCATTCAAAAGTTAATATCATTGTTATTATCATTATTAGTTATTGTATTGTGTATTAAATTATTTACATTAATTTTTCATTATATCGATTTAAAATCGAGAAGACACGATATCGATCGATCGGAGATTATAATTATAATTATTACAGTGAATGTAATAGAAAGCTTCAAAAGATCTACTTTGAATCAAATGAATCTTGAAGCCTGGAATTTCAAATGTTTGATAAAAATGAAAAATAAAAATGTAGCTTGGATAAGTATTAAAAGAAGAGAATTCCTCCAACTTTTTTGAATAAGTTCCATTTATATTAATATAGATAGTACAACACAATGTCGACCACGTGCACGGCACATTAAACGGATTACGCTGTAGCACCTAATAATTGGCTTGTTTTCTGAAAGTTTAGATTATCTGTGACGAAAATGCGGTAATTGGAAAAAGTCGTCAACACGGAATTACTTATTGTTTAACGAGATCATTTATTTCGTGACGTCTGATGCCTGCAACGTCATAACAAGCCGAGAAACGGGAACTCTTGCTCATCACTCTTTTCTTTTCCAGATTCTCTTCCAACGAAATAATACAACGCGAATGATTCGACTTTTACCATTGTTTTCTGATTTGAAATATTTTGAAAAAATATAATTGTCAAATTTACACAAAGAGCCGAAGAGCAACGAAATAGTAACAACAATAAAGAAATGGGAATTGCAGAATTTGTCGACGATGGTGAAAGTGGGTTACGCTCTGGTGATTTTTACCCTGTTGCTGATGATGTGGGCGTCTTTGGTTCGGATGCACGAGCTTCCAGTGCAGTATCCACCGTGTTTCTTCAACCCTCTTTGCACCTGTTCGAAAGCCATGCCCGATCTGGGAATAGTCACCTGTTACAACGTGCCGATGCCGCGGATACCTCAGCCAATAAACTCCTCCAAAGTGTTCATGCTGCAGTTGGAGAACAACGGACTGATGTTTCTACAGCCACAGTTTCTCATGAACACCGGTACGAAATAGCGGAAAGTTCGTAAAACGACGACGATTTGAATAAATTAAAATTATTTGAGAAACTGCATTATCTCCATAATATTCTAAATGATACGAATTCTCAACGATATTCAATAAAAACACGAACAATGATCCGATAGTTTCACAATATAAAATTCTGATATTGAAAGAGGAAGAGTTGAAATATCGGAGACCTCCACGATTTCAATTGTTGCATATCGATAATCCAAAATTTTCCACGCTTCTTCACGGTATACTTGTACTGAAATTATTATATTTCTTCAACATAGTAATTCACAGTTGTTGCTGCACACGGCGACGATTCTAAAATTACCATTTTCAAATCGATATCGAAGATCTTTGAATAAAAACTGAAAAGTGCTGCAGTAAGGTGAAAAAAAAGTTCCGTAATCTAAAAATAAATGAATAAATCTCTAAACAAAAAAGGGGGAATTAATTTCCCTCGTTAATATTAACCCGTTTAACATTTTGTTAACGGTAGAACGCGTTTGGAGAGGGTTTCAAAGTGATCGTTGATCAAGGGAAGAATGAAATAGGGGTTAAGGGGCAACGACCGTGCGTCACGAATAATTCCTTGCATCATCGATTACGTTACACGCGCACACATTTATATACACCGTGGCAGTTGAGTTTTTACACGAACGTCACTCTCCTATGTCTCAGGTCTGTACAGCCTACGGATCAAGCATAATCCCCTGGCCGACATCCCGGACGAAGCTTTCCTAGGGCTTGAGAGATCGTTATGGGAGCTCGAATTACCCTACAATCGCCTGGAGAAGGTTCCCAGCAGGTCATTCAGACATTTGCAAAAATTACAGCTTCTCGACCTGACAGGTATTCCTCCATTCCTTTTTTGAAACACGATTGTCAAACCGTCGCCGAAAACTACAAATAATTTCGCACGAGTGAGAAATTTTACATTCGCATGGATATTCAAACAGCTCGTGGAATTAGAAATTAAACATTTAAAAAAAAATTGTCCAGGTAGAGCATATCTGGTAGAATGCTCGAGACGGCGAAATAAAGTTTCGCACAAAAGCAAAAGTCGCTATGCAAGATCGCACACGCGAATCGTTTGGAAAACAAAGCAGAAAACAAAGTAATAAGATGAAAGGGAACTTTTAATTTAATTGGATTTAGACAGAGGCTCGTGATAAGAGTTTACATTAGGATCGGGCACTTGTCTAATCCACGAGTCTAATTAAATTAAGCCGCGGAGGTAAAGCTAAGTAGCTTTACACCATTAATTAACCCCCCAAGCACTTATCGCAATATACCCAGATAGTGGAAATAAATTTCTGCTCGAGCTCCCCCATCCATTAAAAAATATACGATTCCATAAAGATCCACATGGTCATCGAATCGACGTTTAAACGCCGAGATGAACAATTCCGAGAGCCGAGTCAAATCATCGTATTTCCTCCGCAGGTAACAAAATATCAAAGATCTCGCCGGACAATTGGCGCGGCCTTGAGAATTCGCTGCAGAAGCTGCGCCTGGGACGGAACGCGATCGACAAACTTCCGGCGGACGCGTTCGCGGGCCTCACTTACTTGGACATGCTGGATCTGCGTGAGAATAATCTGAAGGAGATCGATCCGTCCGTGTTCAGGGACGGCATGGCGCATTTAATATACCTGTACCTGAATGGAAATCAACTGACTCACATACCGTACGCGCAGCTGTCCTCTCTGAAGCGTATGAAACTGTTGGATCTCAGTTACAACAGGATCTCGAAGATGCTGAACCCGCAGCAGGAACCGGAGATCAGAGGGTTGCAGATGTCATTGGACATACTGCGACTGGATTACAATCAGATCGAGACGTTAATGTCCGGTGATTTTCAACATTTTTACAAAGTGAACAGAACGCACCTCGACGGCAATCCTTTAACTATGATCGAGGTAAGATTCCCACGATATTTTGTAATATTGTGTAACCCTGTGGATGGAAACTTTGGAGTTCTGTCTCTCGAAAAAGTGCAACGTTTCTCGAACAATTCAAAAGTGAATTGAAATATTTTAGATGGATTCTCGTCAGATTGACAAAAATTGAAACTGTTTCTAAATCCAAATTGCTTTCTGGATTATGCTCTGCGAGAAACGAAGATACGACGAGATAGAAGGCTACGTTCTTTATTTTTAGTTTAACGTTAAATTTCTTCTCGGATATAATTCCGCTAAAGTGACGCTACGTGGGTTTTCAGGAGGGCACGTTCAGGGATTCGAGAATACGCGAGCTTTATTTCAGCGATTGCGACCTAATGGAGGTCAATTCCCCGAATTTCGCCGGCTTGGAGTCGTCCTTGGAATTGCTGGATCTCTCAGGGAATAACATTACTTCTCTCCCAAGTCCAATCTTCCAAGAGTACGATTTCTTGCGGACGTTGATCTTCCGCGAGAACAAGATCCAAACGTTTTCGCCAGGTAAAGTCAGATCCAAGAACTGCAACTGTTCAAGCAATATTTTTCAGTCGAGCAAATTAAGCTTATATCTTTTTGTTATTAAACGCTTAAGCGTTCGATTCTTTTTTTTTTTATTATTGAATGCTCAAGTAGCTTAGCTACTATTATTTACATGTTACTCGTCGTTTGAATGCGAGTTAATCTAATCGAAAATCGTCTTGTCCGCGTGTCACTAGCCGAGGTGTTCAACGGTTTCCAATACTCTCTATACAATCTGGACTTAAGCGGCAAAGAAAATAGCATGGTGTCGCTTCAGGATTTACGGCAAATGCGAAACATGCGATTCCTTTCGATCTCACGGATGCCACAGTCCACGCTGTCCCCGGACGATTTCATGGAGTACGGGATGGACATCAAGGAACTCCGTATAGTCAAAAGCAATTTGAATACCATCAAGAGCCACGCTTTCATGCACGTACGCGGGATCAAGTACCTGGATTTCTCGGAGAATGCCATCTCCTCCATCGAAGACGAAGCTTTCTCCGAGGTAATTTTCAACGTTGAACGTTAAACGCTATGATTTTCATGTCCGTCGAGTGAAATAGTGAATTTTAATTTAAGATTCTTAGATATTAACAACCATCACGTGTTACGTTTTCGGAGTCTCGATGACAGGGAAAAAATTAATTTTCGCTCAAAAGATTTTATGAGAACGAGTTTGTCTTTTAAGCTTGTTTCGTTTGTATTTTTCTTCGTCCATTTTTCGTACAAGAACGAGACACAGACGAGCAATTTGTCAACCGAGCAACCATACAAAATCATAATACGTTCTGATCAATGAAAATCAGTAATTTACCTTAATAGTTAATTAAACTAGATTCGAACCACAGAGGCCTTGATCCGCCGCGGATAATTCCAATAAAACGGGCTTCTATAAAGAATCATCCTTGCAACGAGTACTTGACCTAATCGCTAACACACTTACGTCGTAGAACTTTCGCGAAATTTCAGTCAAACAGGCCCGTTAGTCCATCGAAGTTTTATTAAATTACGTTGCAGGCAGATGAAACTTTTATTTAAAACGACACTCTTTCCCGCAGGTTGGCCACTCGCTGTTAATACTGAGAATGTCTCATGGCCTTTCGTCTTCCGTTTCTGAAATCCCCAGCGGCCCGTTCAAGTTTCTGACGAACCTGCAACACCTCGACTTTAGCAACAATAAGATTAAATCGCTACCAGACACGGCTTTTCACTTTTTGAAGAGGATCAGGCGAATGGAGTTGCAGGACAATGAGATCGACAATATCAGAAAAGGAACGTTTCAGGTATGAATTATTCATAGCTCTTCTAATTTTCACTTCACATTCAAGAGCCGTTCCCATAGATTTCTTTATCAATCGTATTGCTGATAATTGCCGAATTAATTCAGGGTGACATACATTCGTACTTGGAGGAGGTGAACTTCTCGTTCAACATGATCACAACGATTCAAACTCACACGTTCGTCGACCTGCCGAAATTAACGATGATAAATTTAGAAGACAACGCCATAAATAGAATCGAGAGGCGAGCATTCATGAACATGAAACAGTTGAAGTATATTAACCTGAGGGGTAACAAGATAACGGACATCACGGATGAGTCTTTCCAGGTAATTAGTGTTAGAATTTCACTTACCCTATTTTATTAATATTCCTATTTTTTCTTTTTTTTTTTTTTTTTTACACGAACTTCTAGAAAACATTTAATTCGTAACGTAGGCATATATTTTATATTTTAACTCGTTGGTAATTGAGAAAATGAGAACGTCGACCTACATGTATACCTATTTCATTTTCATCGTATAATTTTTTATATTTATTTAAAATAATTATTTATATCCAATATACATGTTCAAATCTGTACGTCAGAGATTTTAGATATCATCGTATACAGGAACTTGTAATCGATTGTAATTATTTATGTTGAAGAATTTGCCAGATCTGGAGTTCCTCGATCTGGCGTACAACGACCTAACCGAGTTCGACTTCGCCTCGTTCGACCAAGTGGGAACGTTGTCTTCGTTCAAAGTAAACGCCAGCCACAATGAGATCCCGAAATTGTGGATCAACAGCACTACGTTTACACCGCCAACCACCAGTAAGTCAATTGCGGTATTCTTTTAATCGTAGCTTAAATAGATTTTGTCCAAGCTCGCTAAACGAAAGTCGATGAAACCTCTTCACCAGTTACAAATCGGCAGACATGCTACCTCTAATTTCTCTGCGTAATATCTTGCGCAACACATCACGCGAACATCACACTATAGTTATAACACATCCTTGAATCTTTTTTCAGGGGAACTATTCATGTCGAAACTCGGGAATTTAACGTTAGAAATTCGTTGAAATTCGAACGACGATATTGAGTTGTTGAAAGGTTTAGTATAGAATTTGAAAAATTCTGTTCTTGAGCTTTAGCGTAGAGTTTCAAAAAATTTCTGCTCTCAAGTCATGGTATGTAATCTCACGTTCACATGCAAATTTTATAGTGTATAATTTTAATTTTGTACAACTCTCTTTCCCAACTCTCACAATCAGTAAAGTGAATTGTTATGATAAACCGTGGAAGTTTCTAATATTAAAAAATTAGCTTCTGATATTTTTCTAATGTTAAAAGAATCTCTTCATTTAGAATAGGTACAAAATGAGTTGTACATAAAATTGTAAAATTTCCCTCTTCAAGTTCTCAAAGTTATCAGCCAGTCTACAATCTAAATATCAAAAATATCTAAGGCTATTTAAAGTTCCAAACTATTCTCAATTCTAATTCTCTTTTTTCCATTGCGTTGCAGTTGGCGGGACAATTCAATCGAACATCAAGGTCTTGGATCTCAGTTACAACAACATATCCGACATAATGAAGTATTACTTCAAGCCAGTCGAATATTCCTTGACGCATCTGTATCTAGCTCACAACCAATTGAGCAACGTGACCCAAGGTGTCTTTGGAAATATGCCACACTTGCAGTGGCTAGACCTGAGTCACAACGAGCTGATGGAGATCGACTTCGACTGCTTCAGAAACACAAAGAACATCCAAGTGCTCTCCCTCTCTTGGAACAGTATCATGGACATTCCAGCGGAAGCGCTCAGACCATTGAGGAAATTAAGGATCGTCGACCTCTCTCACAACAAACTGAGAACGCTGCCGGATAACATGTTCTCAGACGCAAATATCGAGAGTCTGGATTTGTCTCACAATCAGTTTATGAGATTACCTGTGAAAACAATGTCCATCTCGGCCGCTGCCAGTTTATCTATGCTGGACCTGTCTTGGAACACTCTGTCAGGAATTCATACTACCGACGCTGTATTTAGACTACGAGTCAGTGGCATTGCATCCTATAAATATACAGATTTGAATACTTTAGAACAGAATCCGTGCGACTTCTATTTTAAAATTGATGCAACGCGTGAAAATTTAGATTTATTCTGGGAATTTAGTTTTGTAACTTTCATACACCTTTGTATTTTAAAATTATAATGCTCGTAGGTGACTATTAAAGAATCGACGGAACAATATACTCTTTAAGTTCGTGAATTTTACAAAAGCTGAGAAAAAGTTAATCGTACATATATTAGACGCAGTTAGATGTACGAATTTTCATTCGTTTCAGAGTCTAACATGGCTAGATATATCTTACAATCGCCTGGTCAGACTCGACGACGGAGTGTTCTCCGAGCTACCATACTTAACTCATCTGGATTTGAGTCACAACAAGCAATTGCTCTTGGAATCACGCGGAAGAACGTTCCACGGTTTAGAAGACTCCCTTTTGTATCTCGACTTAAGCAACATCTCACTTTTAAGTGTACGTTTCAATGTATATGGACGCGCTTGTAATGTATACATGTACAAGAATATTTCTTTTTGTTTGTTCAAAAGGTGCCAGAATTGCCGCTAAGGCGATTACAAACGTTGTACTTGGCGCACAATGAGTTGGCATCGATACCAGCGGAAATGGCATCGAACTTGACGTCCCTTCATTACTTGGATCTAAGCGCCAACGATCTGACTGTGGTGCCATTGATCACGCACACTCTACCTGAATTGAAAACGTTTAATCTAGCGGATAATCCCATCACGGCCGTCAGTAATACTAGTTTCTTAGGTATCGCGGACAGTCTTGAGGAACTGGACATACGAAGACTGTCTTTAACCACTTTCGAGGCAAGTTTTCACCTCAGAAACAGAAAATTTCAGAAGCGTATAAAATTATTATTAATCGGGTATTATATAATTTCTTAATGATCTCCTTATTTTATGTACGGTGACCAATTTTATCAATTAAGGATGTATTCATCACGTTGTTATAGAAATGGAATTAGAAAAAAAAGTTGTGAAATTTTCCTCCAACTTTTTCCTATCATATTTCAAAGATTTTTTTATATATAAGAAATATTTGAAGATTGATTGTTATTCTCCTTGTTGAAGCATTAAACATTTCTTGGTTTACAGAGCGGGGCACTTTGCAAAGCTACGAAACTCCGCAAGTTATATATAACCGCTTACAACGGCGTGAAGAATTTCAACTTCCCCAACATCCTCGAGTACAATCACGGCCTAAGGCATTTGGTCATCGACGTACGTGATAAAAATCATTCAGTTGCACAGAAAGATACGTATCTAAATGCTGAAAATTTCGATTTCAGGTACAAAACGACACGGATCTGGAGAAAGAAATGAAGGGAAAGTTTCCCAACAAGTTGTTCAATATAACATTGACTGGTCAATCATTGAAGAATATAAACGCGGATATTTTGCGAGTATGCATTCCTAAGAATCTATTCTAGAGCATTCTCTAAAAAAAAAAAAGAAAAAAAGAAAATTCAGATCTTTGGTATATTTTAACGAAAAGATTGATTGTATTCAGGGTATAAGAAATCCGCATTTGCACTTCGGGATGTACAACACGAGCGTGAGCGCAGTGCCCAAGGAGATGTTTGAGAATGCAGAATGGGTGAGGAACGTGACGGTTCACCTTCATCACAACGACGTGCGAACCCTTCACAACCCATCGAACGGATATAAGCCAGGCGTGCCAGGAAAACGATTTTTATTGAAACTGACGGTGAGAGGAAGCTACTTCACTTGCGACTGCGACATCGGGTGAGTCCATTTTTACTTATGCGATCTTATACCCGAAGGGGAAAGCGAACATTTCATTTTTCTCCTTGAATCGCAATCATATCTTCATCTTTGCACTTCGATAAATTTTGTTTTTTTTTCTTTTTTTCGTAGAAGTTACACAATCTCACAAATACTAAGCTATTAATAATAATTTAAGATCGTCAGATCATTAGAATCTTTAAGATTTTTAAATTTTCTATTTTTAAGATTTTTATAATATAATTAGAGAAAATAAAGTACTATGCTAATTTAGGAATAATTGAAATATGATGTTACACTGATTAGGAATAACATACTTTAATATGCAACGATCGTTTCTAATTAATTGTTCCTAATTAAGCCTCAATACGTGGAAAAAGTTTAAAAATTTTCTTACCGAAGCATATTCTTCCAACTCCTTGGCTTTCCTTGGCTACCGTTTCCTGAGGAGATATTCTCTTTCAGATGGATGGAAAATTGGCAGAGGAAGCACAGACAGTACCAAGAAGACCGCTGCACGACCTACAGCGAGTTCAAGAACTTCGAACGGGACGAGGAGGATGACGAGTTTGATTGTTGGGACAACGGCTGGGACGACGATCTTCGCGAGGCATTTTGCTTAAACAAAAATAACGTATCAGTATTGGAAGCGTTAAAGACCGATCTCGAATGTGGATGGGGCGCGGCGAGTTACACTCACCCACCTCGTCATCTCATTCTTTTCTTTCTCATTTTCACGGCAATCGTCTATTAGGTCTTACCTTTCACACATATAAATTTCATTCCACGCGTTTAAAATCGGTTTCACCATTTCCTTTCCTCGCAATGTACGACGATTTAAAGTGCGAACATGCGACATATCATTTACTAAAATAATTTAAACATAATCACCGTCTCATTCCAAAGGAGTACACACATCGTGAATGTGATCACATTTTGTTGTTCGTCGTGGCCATGTAAATGAATAGCAATGGCGAGTACAAGTATATTGTAACAATTGTGTATGTTATTAATAAGTTGTTTAACAGTGGTACTTTATTTGTTTTTACGAAATATTCAGTAAGTATTCGTATTTATCGTAGAGGCAGATTATTTAATTACTAGTAAGCAATAGATTAAGCAACGTCGTCCTTGGTATCGTGTTTGATTCATCGGTGATAGTTATTTATTGATATGCATGTGATATAGCGGTTAATGCGAGCTTGATCATATTCACGATACTCGCTTCTGTTTAATCTTCTTTCGATGGAATTACATTTCGTACGAGAAACTGTTGACAAGGATGATATCGTTTAAAAGAAATAATTTAGACTGAGTTTGCACTTTGATCGAGCGCATCAGAAGGAAAGGAACTCTTGCACATCCCTTCGTTTCTTCGCCTAAAGCAGCACGCTTCGAATCAATGAGACTGTCAGATCAATTGTTCAGATACTCGTACAAAGTGACCAACAATTGCGGATCGATATGCTTCTTCTTTCGATCTGTAACGCGTCTTCGTCGCGTTGATAGGAATTGAAGTTTTATTCTCTTCTTCGTAGCTCTCTTCTTGCGGTCGTTGTATAAAAGTCGCGCAGGGTATTCTTCCTCGTCTTCTTCGCGCTAACAGTAAGTCGTTGTCGAACTAAGAACTTGCAAACAAATCGAGAACAAACTCGTCTCTCTTCTTTGCTTGAAAGAAGAAATTGAATTTCACAGGTTGAAGTTCTTTTTTTATATTCGTAGGGAACAAGATCAGAGATTGAAGAAATTCCCTCTTCAAAGATGAAGATGAATTTGTATTCCACGAGGGAAAAAAGAATTTCAATCTGTATTTAAGATCCTAATTCGACAATGGAAACGTGCATTTCTACATTTTTTTCATAATTACATTCAAATTGTCACACGTTCAAAAACATTTGGAGGATACTAGACGTATGTCTTCGATCATTAACCTGTAGTTAATTCGGTTAACAGAAATTTTATATTATCTGAATCTATTTGCTTTCCAGTGTGTGCTGTCGACACATTTTTTTTAAATAAAATCGCACCGAATACTATGATACACGTTCTTATCATTATTTGTAATATTCTACCTTTAAGTATATTATATAGAAAAGAAATTAAAAATCAGTGAATTTAGGAAATTTTTCAAAGATTTCGTAACGATAAATTAGAATCGTTCAGCGTGGAAAACATACACGAAAGAATCGATCGAATTGTAGAATAACAAGTTAATTTGAAATTAACAAGGCAAAATCGATAGGTGTATTTAAAGGAGCTTTTTTAATTGTGCATGTATAAACAATTCTCAATAATTATATGACAAATCACGTAATAACCACATTAGTTCTAAAATCATCCAATTAAATATAAACGATCGTTATTACGATTAATTGTAGAGCATGATCTTTGCTATTATATCAATTACCATGTGTACAATTGGTAAGACAATAAAACCGAATATAAATATTAGACATATATAGACACTAAATAATTCTGTCGTGAATACTAAACATCGAGTGATCGTTTGCCGGAAGTCCTTGCTGTTGCTTATGCTAATCACTTTGTCCAGAACGAATCGCAATAAGTGTAGGAATACCTAAAAAATACCATTCATACCATACGTAAATGTTAGGTACTAGATTTCTCATAAATATTTATTACATTAAAATTTTAGACAATATAGCAATAACAATTTTGCAATGACTTTTTTCTTTGCTTCAACGATTTGTTTTTGTAATCTCTTTTCAATTGAAAAATTTTAAAATTTTTCATCCAGAAAGAATTGACGCGATTATCGGCCAAAAGATACGAAAGATTTTCAAAAATGATTCAAATTAATAAACCTCTGATCATACACTATCCAAAATAATTAATTCAAAAACTATCTAAGGAAAAGGTAGAATATTTTGATAACTGTTAAAGATTTTTAAAATCTGTGATAAACAGAATTAGAGATACTAAACAAATTAATTATTTTGAACGGTGAAAATTCTATTAAATAATTTAATGATGGGGAAAGGATAAATCGATTGTTATTTAACGATACCTCAATAACAGGTATAATGTTCAGCATGACGTACAACAACGCAAGAAGAGATTGACCTGTTGCTCGACCCATCGTGTTAATGAGAGTCGAAAAAGAGTATTCTGTTCGTGGAACGCCGCACGATTCTTGGTAATTGACCAAATATTCGTGGAAATTGTACAAGAAATTCTTCTTAGTATCATCTTTCACAGGATTTTTGTAACGATTTTCTTTATTACATAAATCGCGTAACAAATTCGTTGTAAAGTCATCCCCTTCGGAAGGAAAGTCGATTTAATATATCTAATACATCGATTTCTTTAAACGTAATTTCTGACTACAGTTTACAATAAATTTACCTGAAGTAAAATTACGTCGAGACCAACGTTTCGATCGATCCAAATCAGAAACGCTGTAGGGATTTTTCCATCTCCATTCGGTGATCGAAGGTTCCTGTACGACACACTCCGAGGAATTCTTAACAATACTTTCGTCAGATTTCCAATCGCCTGATTTCTGATTCAAAGCGCTTTCGCTTCTTTTTGACTTGTATTTTTCTCTGAAGTGCAAACAAAGATCGCACGATACTGGACACGCTAGTTTGTTCATTTCACACTTGTCCCCCTCGAGGAACTGTAGCGAAACGTATTACGATATGTATTAACAAACAATTTACAAATTGCTAATCGACAGTTTACAAATTTTTTTCGCTTTTAGATAATCAATGTCAACCGAGGAATATGGAAAGAGGAAAAGAAAAAGCAGAGAGAAAAATTTGTAAAAATGCAAGTGAAGAAGGACTATTCTATTTCTCTTGTTTACTTGTTGATTACGAAAAAGACATTTATTTCCCAGGTGCCATTTCTCGTTATAATCAGACTTTGGTACGAAATCGGAATTGTTCAGATTCTGTGTGTCGTTCATGTTCAAAAAGCAGGACGCACGACTGATCGTGGTTTGATCACTTTCAGTGCACATAATGTCCGTTTCGACACGGTGCGGTATACGATTTCTGAACATACCAGTTACAATTTATCCTTTTTTTTTGTCGGTCGTAACGGCGGCGAGAATATCAGTTAATTTTCATTTCACAATTCATCCTCAAGGGGAGATGTTCACATTCAAAATGAAATCCGCGTGAAATTATCCAGCGCACCTGTTACCTGACAACGTACTATTACAATGCGCGATTCATTTAAATTCGACTATCTTCGCTATCGTACGTACAGATTTCTTATGTTCCTAGATTGATGCGAAAATAAATGGTGCACGAATTATTTGATAGAATTTTATTTTATATATTGTCACGTGACTAACAATAAGATAGCCGACAACGTGGAGCAGTTTCTTGAGAAAGCCGCCGATTACAAACGTTTATACAAAGTCATTCCCAAATGTATAATTATATATATATATTTCATAATATATATAATTATATATATATAAATAATTATATATATTTTATAATATATATAATTATATATATATATAAATAATTACATATATTTTATAATAAATATATATAATTATATATATACATAAATAATTACATATATTTTATAATAAATATATATAATTATATATATATATATAAATAATTATATATATTTTATAATAAATATATATAATTATATATATATATAAATAATTATATATGTATATAAATATTTATGTATATATGTGTATGTATATATTATATAATTATATATATATAAATAATTTATATACATATATAATTTCTACAAGATAGATACTTTGCTTTGTATCTATATAGAACATGATGTAAAAAGGAATTGAAAACAGAAAGTTACATACAAACTCGAAAGGAAAGAAGGATTAGCGATCGTGATTCTGCGTTTTTTCTGTTCTCGTTTGCAATATATAAAATGTCTTGTGTACAACGCGACGACAAACGTCGGAGTGGGTGTTTCTCGGCTTTTTCTTGCAGCATCAAGTATCAACTAGGATCCGCTAAATCTACGATACGTACTATATCTCTACAAGTTCTGACCGATCGTTCTCGGATCACTTTCACACTCAATCACAGTCGCGCATCTCACTATTATTCTTAAGCTGTATGTACTGCATTGTGGTGATGTCTCTTTTGGCTTTTCTTTTTTTTTTTTTACGAATAAAATTAATAAGATAAATTACAGCGGTTCTATAAAAGCCAATTTAAGTGGACGTTTCTTCTCTCTCTCTCTCTCTTTTTTTTACCGAATCAATGCAGAAAAAGTGCAAGATATAAGAAACAACTCGGCAAGACTCAAGTGTGTTTGATTTGCTGTGACGCTTTCAATAACACGGAGATGCAAGAAAATTTCAAAGCACATCATCGCAAAAAATTTTGTATTACTTTTTTGTACAGCAATTCCAGTTTCCGCTTGTACAAGGAGGAAACACATTGGAGGACAACGATCGATTGCGAGGTATTCTCGGTATCAGAGGATGATTTTTAGCTTCTTTACTCTTTTTTCATTTTTTTTCTTTTTGTTTTTGTTTAGTTTCAGATCATGTTATGAAAAGCAGGGATTTTCAGCATTTTCATGTGTTGCATAAAATCTCAATAAATACTTCCATATAGCGGGACGAAAGGAGAGAATCTCGAACTCTGAGTTAGAGTTTGATATGCTCTGAAAGACTGGGGGGAGATATCAAAGCTGTTTTATGCACATTTATAATATGCCGAAACCTTTTGAGTAATTGATCGCCTTCAACAGCCGATCTTGTAACTTTTCTATTGTACTGTAATCCGGCAATAGTAATATGTTGTAGCATGTATGGGCTATTGGTAACCTAAAATATGAAATGTAAGATATATGTATGAAAAGTACGAATTCAAGTTTAAAATTTTACCTGTCAGAATCTGGACCATGTCTAGCAATCACCATTTTCAACCTTGATAAACCACCAACTGGAACTCTATCGCTTCCAGTAGTAAATTGAAGTAGTCTTCGTTGGCTTTCTGGCGGTAACGAATGCGCAACACGCCAGAAATTACGTATTGCTTTACTGTCAACAGTATAACCACCTTCATATTCCGTAGCGGCTTCCAGTTCCGCGAAGTCAAAAACTTTACTACCACAAACAAGCTATAAATAAGATATTAATTAGAAATAATTATTGATTAGAAACGATTATTGTAATTAAAATATTAATGTAAATGTATACTTGTTCAATTTCCTCAGGTCTAAAAAGTAGTGCAAGTGGACTTTCATCCGTGACCATTTGGAATCCACGTCTGAATGCCTTAAATTGTCTTTCTACAGATTTATTAAGTAAAAAGTCCGCATAAAGATCTACAAATTCTTTTTTGTTTCCTTGTGTTACAAATATTTCGTCACCATTCGGTTTCAAATCATGGAAAGATATTGAACCGAAGACGTCTCTGTGAAACAGCATATAAAACATTGATTATTGTTTATTAAATAGTTATTAAATAATTTACAACTTACTTGTGAGCTACTCTGAAAGTTTGCATAAATGTTTCTGCCATATCGTCCCCAGTATAATCCATCAATTCCTTCAATGTTCGATATAACGTAGGACTCCAATCTTCTAAATCGGCAAAGCATCCTTTTCTACCAAGCAATTTTCGATAAACTACCATAGAGAAACGTACATCTAGTATTACGTTATTGTATATCGCTAGGCCAAGAACAACGCCTATTAGCGTGAAATGTGCGTCACTTTCAAATGACGTTGGATTGAACCATGTCATCTGCGTATCTTCCTATAATTTGAAATACATGATAGGTTAAATTATTTTTTCCGTAATTAAAAAGCATTTTTCCTAGTTTTCAATTAATGGAAATTAGTTACCTGAGTCGTGAACATTCCATAATCAGGATTGAAAATTTCTTCTACAATCAATTGGAAAAATTCTTTGGATACACCACCCTCATCGACCCCTTGCTCACCTTCGAATTCAACGACTAATTGCTTTTTAAGATCGGATGGATTTTCTACCGCGATCATTTCCAATTCAACTAACGCATCATCTATTAAACGATCTCTCCTCACCTATTTTGAGCAATTATTAATACCAGTCACAAAAGAAAATTGAAGTATGTACAAACCTTTAGTTTTAAATAGGGATTAGTAGGTTGTCCAACGACAGTTTGTAAAAAACTCATTCGGCGTTCACTATACATTCTAATACGATTATCGTAATACAAGCCCAGCGTCTTTGTAGCAGGAGTGAGGATAAAAGCATAATTCATAAAACTAAATTTCATAGGTTCTTCACTTTTATAGTATGCAAAATCCTTGTCCATTTCTATCGCATCACTAAGTGGTTCATTATAAAAATCAGTAAAAGGTATAAATGGTTTTCGTGCATCTAATGCAGTAATCCCTAATTCCTTAGCTAATGGATCCTGCAATTATCGTTCTCGTTAAAATTTATGAACGATATACACATAAAATAATTCAATACATTATAGGAATTTTCATAATTTCACCTGCGGAATTTGAGACAGAGATCTGCTAGATTTGTCGTTACTTGTAGATTCACAATCTTCATCTACGTTTAAGTCAGGTTCATCTAATTCACCAGCTAACATACTTGCATAATATAAAATTTTCATAACTTTCGTCGGAGCAGTAATAGTGTCCGCATCTTGAACACAATAATCCCGTGTAAAAGATCCACCTATTACCTGTATGAATAAAAGATTTTATGAATAAAAAATATTTTGATAATTTCAGTTATGATAGATAGTTATACCTTAACAGTTATCAATTCTTGTAGAGCTTGTAAAATACTTGGAAGTCGAGATTTACAATGTTTAGCCCATACACGTGCTAGTTTAGCTTGTGCCACAATAGGAAAACAGCTCAATGCTTTACAAAGCATATGAAGGGCAAGTTCTAAATATTCACTGTTCCCAAGCATAGGAATTTCAAATACAATCAGAAATACGTTTAATAAACTGTCCATATTATCCCATGGCATAATACGAAATACTCTCAAGTCTAATTCAATATTATCTGCCAAAGTGACTAGTGCATTGACCAAAGCAGATTTAAACACTTCTCCTAAATATTAGAAAAATTGAAAGTAATTCATAACTATTAATTAATTAAGTGAAACTTCATAAAATATTCTTTTACCTGGTAAAGACCAAAGAGCAGCAAAAGCTCTTCGCACAGCTGGTAAGTCAATGCTTGTATCATCATTATTAGGAACTATGGGTGATGGTTCACTGCTGTCTTCTTCTTTGTCTTCTCCTTGAATAGATCGAATTGCTTCTTTATCCATATCACCAGGAGGCCTTAATAAACTATCTGAAGCTCTATCAAGAAGAGCAGCCAAGGGAGAGTCATTTTTTACAGTTTTTTGAAAACTAAGACTCAGTGCCTTTGCACATGAAAATACCTCTCCCAATGTACGAATTAATAACGAATAAGATCCCTCTGATTTACATCTTTCTATTATATCCAACAATTTTGCTTCTGTTAGGTATGGGTCCTGCTTTCCTGTTGACAATAAAATAATTACATACATTTATCAAAATATATCTAAGTAATATAGAACTATATATAGAAAGCTATATATATATATAACTGTATATATTATTTTACGTTAGAAATAAATAACAAGAAGTGAGAATTAAATAGAATATTTATTAACATATACACAGCAACCTCACATGAATTTTTAAATCTTTTTATAAAGTAGTTGTATTAAAAAGTATTATTAAATTTTTGAAATTTGTTTTGTGTATCTCTCTCTGTCTATGTATTTAAGATACAAATTGAGAACTAATAATTTTGTAACAAAATTAGAACAACATTTTTTATAAAATCTTTTCTTGCAAGATTTTTTTTGAGAATAGTTACGTTTACGTTTTTTATCCATTCTATATGTTCTTTTCTTTGTTGGTTTAACATTTGAATTGTTATAATTTGGAATATGAATGTTACATCTGTGTAATATTTTCTGAAAAATTTCTTCATCTGATAGTATTAATTTATTTGGAATAGAATTGTCATTGCAATCTGTTTTGAGAAATTGATATGAACAAGTATTCCTATCCATTGATAGAATAGAATGTAAAATAGGTGACTTTTCTTTTGAAATTGATTCCTCACAAACTTCAATATTACTTGGCAATTCGCTATTGAAAGAAACTTGAATACTGTTGTCTTTTAAAGTTTGAGATGGAGGCATCAAATCATTTGTATTAACAGAAATATCCATTTTTACTGAGGATGTTAAAATGTCAATAGTTGTAGGAATAGGATTTACATTGGAATTTGATGCAATACCTTCATCTGAACAAGTTGGATTCACACTTTTAACTGGTAAACTCTTAGCTAAAGATGCTGGGCCTGGTTCTAATGTTGTTCGAGCTACTTTACTAGGTTGCGTTCCATCGCAAAGTCTTGCTTCTTGGGAAAATAATTGAATAGCTTGAGCTGCAGCTTGATTCGGAGTTAAATTTGTTACCTGTCCAACACATGAATCGCATTAGCAATAAAGAAATCTTCCAACGTTTAGACAGCATTCAAATTTATACTTTGCCACTTGATGCACAGTTCTGATTGTCACAATCTGGATTGCCACATCCATCAGTTAACTGATAAAAATATCGCTCGATCAACTTTTTGGCAACTGCACGCTTCATGTCGCTGCAAGGGCTCTTTGTTTCTCCCCTAATAACGTAATAACAGAATTGCAGGGATTACAATATTGTATTGTAAGAGATATTCTAAAACAAAATAAAAAGAGAAAAACTATTATTTAAGTATATGACAAATGTATGCTAAACACTTTAATATTTTTTTTTTTATTTCATGAAACACAGAAAGTGTCTTACAATTACGAATTTCAAACGAAATTTATTACTATCCGTGTATCCCTGTTTCTGCAACGAACAGCAGAAGTTTGAACGAAATCATAACCTATAATGTTTGATACATATGATTTTCTCGCGGATTGTACACGTTCAAAGAATTTCGAAACTCCAATAGCAATAGAATTGCGCAGAAGTTCTCTGCCACGTTAAATACGAAATTAAGAATTTTGTCAGACAGGCCCGGGGCATCGAGTCGACCATTAAACCCAACGACAATGTCGACATAAACAAAAGAAGCGGATTTAATTAAATTAGGAGTACTTTCCGATACTTTGCGATTCATTCAATTAGGAGCACGCAATGATCATGACACGTCAATAATGACAGTTCAGGAAAAGAATCAGCCTTCCGAGGTCGGCAAGCGAATGGAGTCGTTGTACCAAAACAAAGCGCGTTAAAAATAATTTAGCCTCGTAGATTCGTAATGTTATTATGCCTCGCGATATATATACATACGCAAACGAACACACGTTTATAGGAAAGCAACGATGATAATAACACGGAAAAAGCAAGGAGAGGACAGCGACGAAGAAAGTTCTAGACAAGCAGAAACATCGATATACACCTGGAAGCGTGATCTTCCTCAGGGTCCTCTTGGCCCTTGGCGTTCATAGACCGTGAATCTTCGAAATTTTGTCTCCCTCTGGCTGTCGGTCGTGAACAAGAAAAATGTCACCACGACCGTGTTCTCCCGCTTGTTTCTAAGTATCGTCGAGCCACTCACACACACTATCACACTAAATTCAGTCGAAAGACTTTCTTATCGACGGTCTCGCCAGACGATGCCCGAGCTGCAATGTTAATGCGTTTTTATCGCGTTATTACGCACTTACTGTGTGTACACCTTGGAATAGAACAGAAAAAGAAAGACGGAGTGAATAGATAGAAAAGTATTAGAAAAGGAGAGGGAGAGGGAGAAAGAGAGAGGAGGATGTAGCACGATATCCCTCTCGAGATATATTTGTCCGTAACTTGAAACGAATGTTTGATCGAGGTTAGGTGAACACCGTGGACGCGAGTACACAAACGTTGTAATGTCCGCTGATTGTGCGACTCATCAAGCACGTCACATATGAATTTTTCAAGTCAATGTTAAAACACCGAGAGGGAGGGGAAAACAATTATTTTTCACGATTTCCTTCCTGGTTGCTGTCTACTGTTCTGCACGGCCACGACCAGCTGCGATTATCGAGATTCCCGATTAATCGTTCGCGGCGATGTTTCTCGATTTATCGATAACTCGACTCGCATCAGTGTAACTTGGATCACGCGTCAAGCAGGGTCGTCTCAATGCTTTTCACATTCATTTTTAGTGAGTATTAATAATTGATTTTTTTTTTTTTAATGAATCGATGACGAATCTGTAAATCTGATATTAATCGCATTAACGAAATACAGTTAGAATTTATTCGTACGTTGTTATTCATATTGATTTGAATAATAATATTTGACCGTGGTTAGATTGACCGCGAATGTACGTGAAAGCGGGAAATATAAGTGTTTCTTACACGAAATTACTGTGCATATTTTTCTGTTTCGCACCTCTTAATTGGTCCAACGTTTTATTTCCTGCGAAATTAGTTTATAAACTTTACATTCACTTTTACACTCGTGTTTATTTTCGAGTATTGTTTCAATGGATATTCCATTTTCATTGTCTACTCCATTTTCAAACTCCATTTTTAATGTTGTAAAAAGATATAAGAATTGATTAAAAAATGAACTAAAGATGAATAATGAATACTCATCTTTTTCATTAGATAAGTATATTTCCTCGAGCTACATATTTATTTCTCCATAATTAGATTTCTCTATTATTAGTTAGGTTAGATATGATAGGTTAAGGTATATTTGGTTCTTTTTTTATCATCATAACATTTCATAATTCTCGGTATCAAATCAAGGAATAATTTTTCCTTTTTTATGGTTCGAGAGATTCAAAGGACTACGATTTAAAGAGTTTATAGAGAATAGAATTGTGGCGAAAAATCCTATGCACGTATATTGACGGCGAAGTTTCTCAAAGAGAATATCGATTTCGTGCTAAATCTAGCATGCGTTATCGCGGACGGTGCCGAATATAATTCCTTGGCCGATTTCGTGACAATGAGTAAACAAGGGGCGAACTTGGAACGGAGCAGAGAAGCGAAAAGTCAGCGGAGGCTTTCGATCATTTTCATCGGGTTTTGGGGTGAATATAAAAGGGAAATTGAGCTTTCGGTATGAAACGAAGGTCTGAAACGAACAGGAAACCATTAGTTCACGGGAGAAAACGGTGCCATTTGGCCAGATATACGAATAACACCGCTCCTCCGATCATACGTTTATATACATTTTGTTTAAACTAAAAATTATAATTATTGTAATTGTTATAATCGAAATTAAAACAGTCAATCCAATCACACTACGAATTTTTTATGCATATAAAATACGTAAAAATTATATGCAAATATACGCGAAAATATACTCTAATAAACATTAAATTTGAACAATTTGTTATAATTACAATATTATCGTTCACCTATTGGTATCAGCACTCAGTAAGGAAAGACCGCTCGGAAATAGAAATCGTGTTATTCATTGCTAGTATAATCGTTTGACAATTTTGTTTATCTACGATACAATAAAATATAGAATATTAATGCATTTGTGCATCCTTTGAATAAAAATATGCAAAGCTTATTATTGTGCACGTCGTATATGTGCGCATAAAAATATGCACTTATTTAAACGTTCCCACTTTAGTTATAACATAAGAATTCATATCCTAGTCAGAAATGATTATTATAAAGTATTACAATCTTCCTGATTGCCAGTAAGCATTATCGATACGCATTGTTAATAATTAAACTACAGATTTATTTGTGCAAACTTATCTCTATGAGCACAGTTAATGAAAACAGTTATCAGAATACTTGAAAATTAATATGTTTCAATCGCGTAATTTTTTGGAGATATCACTGTTTCTCATTTAAAATAAAAATTATTTTCTTTTCAATAATCGTTTCATAAAGGTTTAAAAGAAAATTGTTACTTTTGAGGTTTCTGATTAGAAACACATTTCTCTACTACCTACTCGTTAATTGCAACATTAAACTATGATCACATTTTTCAACTCGGTTAACTTTTCGGAAAGAGAAACGGAGGGGTAAAAAGAAAAGAAAAAGGTGAGAAGTTTTACCTAACGGATGCAATTTTTGTGTTTGCATCTTCTCTGAGTTCTTGGAAGCAGAAAAGAGGGAAGGAAAGAATACTATTTTTTAGGAATTATTTGTTTCATTCAATATTCTACGAACGATATAAATAATATATATATAATTATTATATAATAATATATAAATAATTAATTTAACGCAATATTAACAAATGTAGGAGATCACACTAATTAAATTTAAAACAATCATCTGTATTTTCATATCTAATATTAGAATTTTTATTTACTTAAAAATTAGTATAGAATTCGCAAAAATTTTTTCACGTTTTTCTTAAAAACTTTCATTCTTATAACTGACGTATTTCATAATGTTGAGTTAGTGATCAACAAATAACAATTAAATTATCATTTTTACAGATTCGAGTGTTTTTTCAACATCACAAACAGTAGATAATGTGCGCCATCGACGAGTTACCAAGTTTTAAGTCAGTGTAATTTAAAGTTCCTGAGATCGCTCTTCTAGCAGATAGCTCGGACCATTTAGCCGGATGATCGAGAGTCGCTGATTAGACAGAAATCGGTGCTCGTGTAAGTAAGGTGTCATCAGTAATTTGGTGCCAAGCCAACTACTTCAGATTTTTCAATGATACACATCTATATCTATTCTTGAAATATGTCAGAGGTTTATAACAATGTATTTTGCTCGAAGACGAGCAAAGGGGAGCATCAGTCGGCTTGGCATGCCCTCGGAATCTTTTAATAGTCGCCAAAAATTGGTTTTTGATTCCTTTTTCCTTCTCGGAAATTTTATCTTATTAAAGAGCTAATATAAATTCGGTTTTAATATATATATATATATATATATATATATATATATATATAATCAATAATTTTAACTTCAATTAGTTTTGTTATTTTTAGAGATACAAAAACACTTTATTTATAAAAATTGTGTAGTATCAAGGGAACCCTATGTTATATTTCTAGTGGTTTATCTTCCTGAATGAAAGGTCGCGAAATTTTCAAACTCACTTCTACTCTTTTTTAAATAGCTCGCTTTACTTTTTCTCTTCCCTAGTAGAATAACCCTTGGACAATAAATAAATTCATCGCTCATTTTTAAACTAAAAGAACCAATGCAGAAATCAATTTCCTTAAATTAAATTAAATACCTACTGAAATTAAATCAATTAAACGTTTAGATAATAATAGGACTTGTACGCTTTACATATAGTTAACAAAAATTAACTATAAATAAAATAAATCGTGTTGCTGTGATAGCAAACGTAAATGTTGTCAGAACCGGCCCAGTATCTCTAACGTTAAATATCATAAAAATATGTGTTAAGTGGTTACAATTTAGTGGCTCTCGTCACGGTCTTGCAATTTTCGGCTCATCGAACGGTTGAAAATGCACGGCAGATAGTGGCCATTCGAAAGTTGTGCGGGATAATAGATCGGTGGAGAGCCGACACGCTCCACTGGAATCACGAGAGGAAATCATTAAACTCTCGCGAAGGTCTATTCAATCTTCGAACCAAAGACGCATTGGCACAGAAGAAAATATGCGATCTATCGATCTGACGGCTCGAATTTAATCAAACCGGGAGAAAAGCGTTCGCAGACGACCCCTTTTTTTAAATCTCTTTTTTTTTCTTCTTCCTTTCTTCCCCCCTTTTTTCTTTCTTCTTTTTTTTTTTTTGCCTCGCGAGACAATCGTTGTCGTTATCGCGAACGAAAGCAGAAAACTCCAGGACCAGAATGAAGTAAACAGGCTTCCTTTTTCACAGTCGGAAAGCTGGAACTGGGGTGGCGAGCGCCGATAGAGATCGGGAAGCAGAAAAGTACACGGATTTACAGAGACCAGGGGTCGCTTGATAGGGGATGAATCTTCCGCTTGGATGCGGCCGAGTTTCGATCAAGGCCAACTTTGCCATTCGTTTGTTACCCCTTCACCCCTTCTGTGTCTATCTGTCTTCCGTTCCCACGTGTTTCTTTTCGTCTCGCCCCTCCTTGTCCCTCTATTTTTATTCACATCTTTTATTCGCCCCCTTTTTTTTTTGTGAAACTTCGCGCTCTTTTC